ATTCAACAAACATATGTTTAGTGCTCCCGCCAGTGCCAGGAGCAGCGCCAGATGCTGGGAATACCGTAATGAATGAGACCAGCAGTCCTTGCGTCCTGGAGCTCCCCAGCTGCAGGGGGAGGGAGACATGGAGCAGGTAACAGCCATATGAGGGGACCAGGAGGCCTTGGGAGCCTTAGCAAGAGCCGATGCAGCCTGGGGAGTGAAGGGTGTCTGAGCAGAGCTTGCAGGGTGAGAAAGGGCCAGGCAAGGGAAATGGGTGTCAAAGTGTGGGGGGAGACACTTCTGACAGCATGGGGCTGGGGAGGGCTTCCTGCAGGGGCTGATTTCAACTGGGCGTTGAAGAGCGTGTCAGCCTGAGGAAGTGGAGGGGACAGAGCAGCCAGGTAGGAATCAGCATTTGGGGATGGTGGGGCTGTGGGTCTGGCTGAGAAGGAAGAAAGGGCAAAAGAATCCCTTTTCCAGAGGCCGAATTTGAGTGGCTAGCCAGGCATCCACCTGGAAATGTCCAGGGGGTGCTTTCTCATTAGAAACATGGACCTCTGGGGGCTCCTGCATGGCTCAGTTTGTTGGGCATCTGCCTTCGGCTCAGGTCGTGATCTCAGGGTCCTGGAATCGAGCCCCATGTTGGGCTCCCTGCTCAGCGGTGTTTGCTTCTCTCTCTCCCTCTGAAAACTTCCCCTGCTTGTGCTCTCTCTCTCTCAAATAGAAAAATAAAATCTTAGAAAAGACAAGACAAGAAGAGAAAAGAAAAGAGAAAAGGGAGGGAGAAAGAGAGAGAAAGAAAGATAGAAGAAAAAGAAAGAGAAAGAAAGAAAGAGAAAGAAAAAAGAAAAGAAAGGAAGAAAGAAATGGGGACCTCTGGTGTGGAAAGGCTCAGTCTTCCAGAGAAACTATGTAGAAGAAAGACTAGAAGCCAAGGTGAGCATGTTGAGACACTGGGGTGGGGGAAAGGAACCAGCCTGGAAGACAGAGAAGCCCGTAAGAACACATTCTGTAGAAGCTCAGAGAATGGTTCTCCAGCAGGGAAAGGAGTGGCTCCTCTGAGCCAAATGTTAGCAAAGTTTCTGGGGCTCCAGGAATTGGAGGGGAGCACAGGATTATATACATAAGCAAGTGAGCATTCACTGTCTTGGTCTCTACCCCTCTCCCAGCACTGCTGCTTCTCTCACCTTCCTGCTAAAAATATCCCCCAGAGGTCCCAACCCCAGGTCTACGGCAGCTGGCCATCCCTACATTTGTGGAGGGAGGAGGAGGCCCAGGTTCTCTGCCTAGTATCATGGGCCACCCGTGCTGGACAGCTATGATGGGATGCCAGCATTGCCTTTCAGTGATGGAAATGAAAGTGGCCATGGAATGCTGTGGGTAGGCAGGTGGGGTGTGTAGGCCGGGGTAGGCTTGCCTGACAGCTCGGCACTGAGGTCGCTTCTCTCCCACACCTGCCAGTCCCAAGTCACCCCTATCCTCCAGCTTCCCACAGAAGGGAAGGCAAGACTCCTTGGGAGTCAGAGAATCCACCCCCCCCCCCCCACTTAAATGAGAGGAAGCCTGGGAAAAGCTGGGTTCCATCGGGGAGGATAGGGATGTCATGTACCATTGACGGCAGGTCCCGGCAGGGCTTCCCAGAGAGGCAGGGTTCTGGCCACTGGGGTTTGGGCCACACATAGGTAGCTGCTGGGAGGTTCCAGAAACCAAGGTGCAGCCAACCTGATCCAGGAACACCTGTGCCATCCACGCCAATGAACGTTTTCTGGCACCAGAGTACCTATACCCTCCTTAAACCCTCCAGACCCCTGCTCTGCTAGGAAGATAGGAAGTTTGCGTGGTGGCTTGTGGGGGCTAGGGATAATGGGCAAGGGGATGCCACGAGAAGTGAGGCCGCTGTAATGAGGTTCGCGGTTTGGAGGCAGGTGGGCTCTTCTGAGCGACTCACTTTTCTTCTTAGAGCCTTGATTTTCTCACCGACAAAATGGAATTAGCAGTATTACAAGGCCAACACGTTTCAGAGGACTGTCGTGAATAAACAGAGAACCAGTGAACTTTCCAAGCTGTCAAGGTCAAGTGTTGCTGGTTTCCAAGACCAGCCAGTGTTGCGCTGGGAATTTTCAACGTGAAGTCCATGGAGCCCTCATTGGAGGAATTCTGTGAACTACTTGAAATAATGTGTAAAAATGCACATGGTGGGGCATCTCTCCTGGGTGAGGAGCCATAGTTCTCAGCAGCTTTTTATTTTATTTTTATTTTCTTCTCTCCCCCTGCCCCCCAACCAATCAGCAGGTCTGGGACCCACATGCGTCTTAGGTCTGTCCCTGTTGTGTTTCTGATGAGTTAGTGGAGACCCGTGGTAGCATAGCTTGTCAGACACATAGCTTGTCAGGCCCTGGTCCCCCACACTCCAGAAGATCAGAGAGGGGTATGCAGCCAGAGGCAAAGCCCCAAGTCCTACAGGGAATTAGGGCCCCTGTCCTCTGTGTTACCAGGATGAGGGCCTCCAGTGGAAGGGCAGGAGAAGGACGAAGCCCCAGGCTAGGGGAGGCCCAGGAGGCCTAGAAGCAGGAGCTGCTGAATAAGTGAGTCATCCTCCTGTCTCCCCAGCCCCCCCCCCCAACCCCCCCCCCACACCACAGAAGACTCAAAGGAGGAAATACAGCTCTTTCTGACACGGTCTTGAGATAAACACTATCGTTGTGTTTTGTCTTCTGAAAAAATTGGAGACACCATGTCAAAGCTTTAAGAGAAACCATGAAAGGCCCCACACAAATATAAGGGAGTCATCCGCCAAAAATGCAAATTTATTGAGCAACTACTGACTGCCAGACATTTTTGGATGCTTTGACGAAATGGGCATAAATGTTACCGCTTCAAGAGGCCCGCCCTGACCACCCGATTAAGGTAAATACACTCCTCTCCCCCACCCTCCCGTTATTCTCACACTCCCTGTGCCTTTCCTTCCCACCACTTATTATACTGTGTGATGTTTCTGGGTGTTGTTTTTATCCCCTCTCTCCTCCATGAGACTGGCCATGGGCAGGAGTCATGCGTATCCATGCTGAGCACAGTGCCCGCCGCCCAGCGGTCCCTCAAATACTTGTTAAGGAACACGTGACTGTCTCTGATCTTCATAGCAGTCTTTTAAGGATGGCATTATTATCCTGCCCATTATACAGAAGAAGAAACTGAAGTTGAGAGAGTCAAAGAGACTTGCTTAAGGATACACTTTGTTGCCACCACACTTTAGCTCTGCTCCTCCCCCTTGAAAGAGTTAAAGGGTCAGAAGAGAAAGTGTGGCCCCAGCAAAATGGCTCACGGGTTCAGTTGCCACCCGGTGCTCAGCCTTCCCCAGCTGAGCTCTTCCAATCTCTATCACACCCAAGTAGCTCCAAGTCATCAATCCACAGCCAGGAGCTGAGGCCAGTCCGAACTGGCCTGTTTATTTCCCAAGTCAAGTGACAGCCAGTCCTTGCCCTCCCTCTGGGGCAATATACAGCTGGGAGTCCCATCCCACTCCTCAAACCTGACACAGCAGATAAATTAGGGAAGTCTTTTATAAAACATTGTACAGGGAAAATACATACATATTTATAGGGCCAGTGCTGGTTGGGGTGGAGTTCGCTTCTTGAACACAGGGAACCAGATCCTGCCCCATTAGGATGCCTGTGCTCTCTTTCCCTGAACTAGTTCCCCTGCTGTCCCCACAATCCGGTACCTGGCTGGTTAGCTCAAGTCATAAAGGTCCAACAGCTTGCCCCCCAAGGGCACTGCTTCCTGCCTGCCCCCACCAGCCGCTCGCATGGTGAGTCACTCCCTGCCCTTCTTCCTTACAGGGGTGGCCCGCCTTGGCCTGGCCCCAGGAATTCCGCCTCCGGAGGGGAGAGGGAAGGCAGACCGAGGAATACTGTTTCCTGATATGTATGGGAGATATACATCCTCCAAACCAGGACTACTTCGGAAGTGGATGGGGGTCTAATTCACAGGCAAAGAGGCATAAACCCACACTGCCCAGGCAAAAGACAAATGGTCACCCCACTGACAGGCCTCCCCTGCTCTGAACTGGCCCTGTCCTACCATTCTAGACTTTCTAAAACGCACTCCCAGTCAGCAGCAAACACCTCTCAGATCCCAGTGCCCATCTCTGCAGCCTCCCACTCTGTATCTCCCAGCATCTTTACTATGCATTTTAAAGCCTCCCTAATACTGGGGACCTATAGTGTTGGGATTGGGAAGGGTGGTTGGTTAGGATGCCCCCACCAACTCCCAAATAGGTTCTGGCTGTATTAGGCCTTTGGTGTCAAGCCCCCAGGCCTTCTGGCTCCTTGGGCCCAATCCCCCAAATCATGGCTGCCTGGGTCTGAGTAGGAAAACAAGACTTGGTTCTCTGTCTCCCATCCCATACTTGCCAGGTCTTTTCTCCCTAGGCTTCCCTGAAGCTGAGGTAGCTAAGGGCCAGGGCCAGTGAGCCAGTGACCCTCCTTATCCCCGCCCTTTGCCAATGCAAAGAATTCTGTTCCAGTACCTTCTCCACACCTTGTCCATGCCTATTCCTGATCCCACCTCAATGAGGCTTCTATGCTAGGAACCCCAGGAATCAGCTCTTGGGGTGACAAATGGATTGAGATCAACCCGTAGTTCCCTGCACCCCTAGCCGGATAGAGCTGGGTCTCAGCCCTTTGGGAGCGCCAGACAGCCAATTACAGCCACGGAGAGGGACGCAGTGAGTGCCCCACCCCTTGCTTTTAGAACCTGCTCAGTAGGCCTGCTTGTCAAACCGCTTTAAGTAACTCTTGCTAAAGCCAGCAGTACCAGGTAAGGGAAACTCAGGCTCCAGGCCCTTAAAGGCGCCTCCTCTCCTCCCTCCTTCTCCCTCCCCTCCCTCATGCAGTCCACAAGCCACACCAGTGCTTCAGGAGCCAGAGGCCCACTCTTGATCTTTCTCTTGCTTCTCACTCGACATCTGTGTTTGGGTAACAAAGACTCCTCCGTGTTTAAGTCCGGATGCCTAACGCCCGCCATACCCCTCCCACCCCCACAAAAACAAGTGCCCAGATCTGGCCCCTCGGAGTAGAGCTGAGAACACCTGGGGCTCAGGACGGGGCTTGCCGGTGGTTCCCGGAGTAGGCATAGGAGATGGGATGGCGGGTCCCAGGCCTCACAGTGAATGTGTTGATGGGGCTTCCGTAGTGGTGGGTGCTGTGGGGAGACCTGGAATGGGGGAGCAGGAGAGAGGGAAGTTAATATTTGCAACTAGTTAACCAACACCCTTCCCATCTTCCTCAGGGCACGAGAGGAAAAGATACCGCAGGGCTGTGGTATCTGTCCACACAAGCCCAGGGGACAGGGTGGGACCGGGGCGACCAGTACTGATTCAACAGACACTGGGCTCCTCCTCCCAGCTCTGTTTGGCTGGCCACAGAATAGTCCCTGATTCCCTTCTGTTCAGAACTCTTCACTCCTATCCTGGGTCTGGATCCTCGGTAGGAAATCCCCATAGACAAGGGCCACTCAGGTCTCCCCCACCACACCACTCTTAGCCCCAATCCCTGAGTCTCTAGAGAGTGGGAAAGAGGAGACAGAAGAAGGGGAGCTGGTGGGGAAAAGCAGGAGGGCAGGGAGAGAGAAAACAAGGGAGATGGTGGGAAGTAAGTTAGGTCAGGCAACCGCTAACATTGCTCTTTCCAAGTTAAGCGCGCTTCGTGTCCCTTTCTCTGCCCAGAGAGCCAGAGGACAGCAAGCCCAATGTCCCCCCACCCCCGATGGTGGCCGTGGCCTACTGGGCTCCTCTGGGGCCCAAGGCCAGGGCTCCCACTCACCCGGGTTCTCACCCAGGGCTGCGTTTCTCGCCCCGCCCCCAGCTCACCTGCCGGCCACAGGGGTGAAGCCGTAGTCGCCTCCGGGCGCCTTGAACTTGGCCTCCCCGCGGGCTGCGCCCTCCATGGACAGCCTTCGCGCATGCAGGCCTCCAGGGAGCGCGCGGCCCGCCGAGTTGACGCGCCGCATTTCCGGGCCTCCTGGTGGCGGCCCGAAGCAGTTTGGGGAGCTGAGGCTGCGGCCGGTGCCGCCGCGAGGCTGCCCTGGGCTGCGGTGGGGCTCCCCGACATACAGGCGCTTCTTGATGAGCGACCGGCCCCCGCCCGAGAAGCGCTCCAGGCCCCCAGCCCCGGCGTGGTGCCCGCCGGCCGGAATGCGGGAGAAGCTGCGAGGCCCCGAGGGCTGCCCCAAGTTTGAGAAGTTGTTCCGGGGAGGGGATCCCCGGCGCCCCAAATACTGAAAGGCCGGGGCGGGGGGCTCGGGGTCGTTGCTGAACTCTGGCGGCGGCGGGATGACCTCAAAGTGGAACTCCCCCACCTCATCGTCTTTGTCTTTGTTGTCCTTGCAGGAAGGGGAAGGAGGGGAGGAGAAGGATTTGGGCAGCACGCGGCCCTGGGGGAGGTTGGAGGATGCTGGTCTTTCCGAGGCCACCGAGGCCACCGGGGCGTGGGGCTCTGCCTTTGTCCCGTTGTCCCTCAGGCTTGGCGCCGTGCCCTCCGGGTCTCCGCAGAGCTGGGGATTCCACTGACTAAGTATGATGGGCTGTGACAGTGAGGCCAGCTGAGTGTCATTCTCAGCCTCCTTGGGCAACTTGGGGACCACAGTGAAGGAGTTGGGCCGGCCGTCGTTGTGGAAGATGCTGTCAGAGCCTGCTTGGGGCTGGCTGCTGTGGCCCCGGAGGCTCCCGGGCAGGGAGGACCGGCTCAGGGCCAGCCCTCCCGGCCTCCCCTTCTGGGCCCTCTGCCTGGCGGCAAGGAGCAGAGCCATTGGGGAGCCTGGCTGCACCATCTCCCCGGTCACCGGATGCCTGAGGAGTTCGTTGGCAGGCTGGGCCGAGGTGGGGGGCTTGGCTGGCTGTCCCTGGGGCTCCTTCTCCTCCTCAGGTCCCCCTGACCTGTGTGCTGAACCTGTGGCCAGTGGTGCCATCCCCACGGCAACCTCATGGCTAGGGCTTTTCTGGGTGCGATGGAGCTTGTAGAGGAATGTCACCTCTTCCCCGCCAGGGGATCTCTTTGGTGGGAAGGCTGGAGCTGAGAGGGCTCCTGGGGTAAGAGGCTTACTGGGCTCTGTGGGGCGCCCTTCTGCCTCTAGCTGGCCGGGCACTGTAAGTTCTTGAGGTCTGGGCTTCTCCCACTGCCCAGCTGGGACAAGGTTCTCTGTCGGCTGGGGAGATGTGGTGGGCACAGGTGGGGCTGCAGATGGTATGGCAGGCCCGGGCCCGGGCTTGGGTGGTAGGGCTGGCCCAGGCGTGGCCTTGGGTGGTGTGGCTGGCCCAGGCGTGGCCTTGGGTGGTGTGGCTGGCCCAGGCGTGGCCTTGGACTGAAGTGGTATGGTTGTCAGAGGGGTGGTGGATAGAGAGGGGAGATTCTTGGCCTCGGGCTTAGAGAAGTTGCCATTAGTCCCCCTGTTTTCAAAGCTTCTTCCCCCTTCTAGTTGAGGCTTGGGAGGCAGAGACCCTATGCAGGGCTTGGCTTCCTTCTCCGCTGAGGAGGAAAAGCGGGCCTCCAGCTCGTTGCGGATCTGCCGGACGCTGGGAGCAGGGGACTCTTGGGGGATGTAGTCCACAGGAGGGAGGGTGAGGCTGGTGGCAGCCCCCTTGTCAGGCAGGCTGCAGGGACTCTTCTCAGGGATGCTCGGGAGGACCTCCTTCTCCGGTGGGCTGGGGCCCTTCTTGCCCTCCTTTTCCTGGGAGGCCACCACCATGGGGCCAGCCCAGTGACTGAGGACTCGGTCCTCCCTCTTAGAGCCACAGAGATAGGCTGCCAGCTCACTCCGCAGCTTTTCCATCTGGCTGGGGTCCCTCCAGTCCACAGGTGCTGAAGAGGCTGCGTCCTCTGGGCTGGGGGGGTTCGGTTTGGGTTTGGGAGCAGGGGAGCTGGATGGGCGGCTTTTCCCAAACCCGGAAGGCTGAGGCACCGCCTTCTCAGCGGAAGGTAAAGGAGGGGCAGCTGGGGGAAGTGGTGGTGCAGGGGGAGGTTGCGGGGGTGCGGGAGAGGGCAGGGGAGGGGCTGGTGGCAGAGTCTCAGCCTGTTCCTTAGTCCAGGACTGGCCCTGGCCCAGGCCGGGGCTGGCCGGTGCTGTAGTCCTGAGCTCCCCTGAGTGGTCTGGCTCAGGGGCCCGGTCTGCGTAGACCTGGGACGCGGGGCGGATGTGGAAGCTGGGAGGCAGTGGGAGTCGGTGGGGGGCTTTCTTGGTGGCCCCTTCCTCTACAGGAGTCGCCTGTGCTTCCTGAGCTGGGATGGATGAAGTCCTGACTGGGGTTGGGGGAGGCACCTTGAATGAGCGTGGGAAAGTAAGGTGGGGGTCTGGCTTGGGCCCCAGAAGGCTCCCCTTTGGCTCAGCTGGGCTCTGGGGGGGGCTGGTTCTGGGGGTCTCTGGCTGCCTTCCATTCAGCGCTACCTCCGATTTCCACTTGGTGACACCCCCAGGAGCAAAGAGGCGAGTCCCTGTCGTGTGAGGAGATGCTGGGGGTGCTGGGGCTGGCAGAGGGGGTGGGGCTGGGGGTGGGACCAGAGAGGCCAAGGGTGGAGCAGGAGGAATGAAGTCCGGAGGGGTGGGTGTGGATGGGGAGGAAAGGGTGGAGAGAGGGGCTGGGGCCCCCAATACTGGGGGCGGGGGTGGGGCCGTGCTGGGTGGGGGTGGGGGTTCCAGTAGCAGGGGAGGTGGCGGGGGCGCCATGGAAGGTGGGGGGGGGGGGGGACCCCTCTTGAGGTTGCGAAGCGTCTGTGGGTGGCCCTGGGGCTGGGCCTGGGGGAGGTGGGGGAATGAGTGGGTCCTGCCCATAGTGCCCAGGCCTCAGGTCACCCACAGAGCTGTACAGTCGGAGGTTGCCATTGATTAGTGAGCTGGTACCTGAAAGAAGGAGACGCAAAGAAAAGCAAGGTGATGAAGCCAACCAGCCTTGCCCATCTCTTCAGGGTGGCACCCAAGAGAGTAACCAGCCAGCTTCATGTCTTTCCTCCTGCACACCAGATGGGGGAGTAGCAATGTCTCCAGTCCCCTGAGCTGTCCTGGGGGTAAGCTCTCCTTTCTAGGGAGGGGCCCCTGCATGTCCTGGCCACGGCGCCTGGAGCCTGGACTGAGTATTCCCTGTCTGCTACACTCTTCTCTGCCCTGCTGTGTGCAGGGACTCCCTTATCCTCTGGCTACAGTTGGGTTGAGCCGAAGGGAGCTCCTGGCAGAGGCCAGGCTCCCTTCTTGATGGGCCAGAGTCCACAAGGGCTGCCTTTCTGCCAGGTTAGTCCCTGTCCCACAGCTCAGAGACAGGAGTAGCTCCCTACTGCTCCTTCGGCCTCTGGGGCATCACCAACCACTTCAGTCCCCGCACCCTGCTCACACCCTTGTATGTCATGCCATCCCTCTATTAAACGCCGTGGTTATCCCCTTTGAGTTGCCATCTGTGTCCCATAGACGCCTTGGGTGATACAAAGCCAGAGAGGCCAGGGTTCAAATCCCAGCTCTAGCACTTACTCAGGTGTGTGACCTCAGACACACTAGTTAACCTTGCTGAGCCTCTGTTTCATCATCTATAAAATGGGCATGACGCCAATGCTTACCACATAGAGCTGTGTGAGGCTCCATGAGAGAATTCATGTAAAGACCCATAAAAAGGGCTGATCATGGTGCTAAGCCCATAGTAGGCACTTAATGGCCGGTGACGACTGTGATGGTGACCACCTGTGCTTAACCTTTCAGACTGTGAAACAGTGAAAGTAGGAGAAAAATGGGAAATCAGGGATCAGGGGATCAGAGGTAGGGGTCTGGAGACTTTCTCAGTAGGGGTCTAGAGACCTCAGTAAGAAGTTTGGGTGAAAGACCCATAGAAGAGAGCAGGATACACGAGAAACTTCTGCTTTCCAAAGACCCTGAATCTCCCAAGAACCCAGCTTCCCAACTCACACAGAGCTTCTGGAACAGACGCTGGACTGTGGGGGTAGAATCAGGGTAGAGGTATGCAGAAAAAAGGTGACCTGAATACCCAGGCGCTAAGAGATGCCCAGCACCTCTGGCCCCAGCAGCTCATACCTCTCCCTTCTTGGACCTGGTCCCCAGCCCCCCACCCCCCACTCTGCAGAGTCTGCAGGCCACCAGGATGCCCTGTTACTTCTCTCTTAGGGGCACCCATCCTCTGCTTCCCTGCCTCTCAGCTTCTAGCACAGAACATAAGAAACCTGGGGAATGTGAGTCAGTTGTCTGACTTCAAGACAAAAAACATAGTGGGGGTGTGGAGAAGAAAAAACTCACATTCATTAAGCACCCAAGTGGGACGCCTGGGTGACTCGGTCGGTTAAGCATCTGCCTTTGGCTCAGGTCATGATATCAGGGTCCTATGATGGAGTCCTGCATCAGGCTCCGTGCTCAGTGGGGAGCCTATTTCTCCCTCTCCCTCTGCCCCTCCCCCCACTGCTTATGCTCCCTCTCATGCTTTCTCTCTCAAATAAATAAATAAAATATCTTTAAAAAGAAAAAAGCAGGGGCGCCTGGGTGGCTCAGTGGGTTAAAGCCTCTACCTTCGGCTCAGGTCATAATCCCAGGGTCCTGAGATCAAGCCCTGCATTGGGCTCTCTGCTCAGCGGCGAGCCTGCCTCCCCCCTCTCTCTGCCTGCCTCTCTGTCTACTTGTGATCTCTGTCTGTCAAATAAATAAATAAAATCTTAAAAAAAAAAAAAGAAAAAAAAATCCAAGTGTTAGGAGCTATGATACAGCAGTGAAAATGAAACAAAAATGGTCAAAATGCTGGCCCTCCTGAAGCTTATCTTTTTTTTTTTTTTAAAGATTTATTTATTTATTTGACAGACAGAAGTCACAAGGAGGCAGAGAGAGAGAGGAGGAAGCAGGCTCCCCGCTGAGCAGAGAGCCCGATGTGGGGCTCGATCTCAGGACCCCGGGATCATGACCTGAGCTGAAGGCAGAGGCTTTAACCCACTGAGCCACCCAGGCACCCCTGGAGCTTATCTTTTAATGGGACAATGAGACAAACAACAAACATAATACATCCGTGTACTAGTACCACATTAGCCAAAGAGCAACACACGGAACACAACCAGGAGGGGTGCTGGGGTACGATTTGAATAAGGTGGTCAGAGCAGACCTCCCTGAGAAGGTGACAGCTGAGCAAAGAGGGAGTGAGGGAGAAAGAGAGTTGTACCTATGTGTAGGAGAAGAGCAGCCAAGGCAGAGCGAATGGCAGTGCAAAGACCCTGGGGTAGAAATGTGCCTGGTACTGAAGGGCAAGAAGGATACCGGGATGGCTGGGGCCGTGTGAGACAGGGAGAGAAAGCAGGATGTGAGCCTAGGTGAGGCCAGACTCTGGCGGTCCTGGCAAGAGCCTTTGACTTGAGCGACATGGAAAGTCATGGGCACTTTTTGACCAGACGTACGACAAGAAGCGCCTAATGTCCCATCCTGTACTTCATTTACTCCTACAGAACAGAAATGGGGTTGGCCCCAGCTCATTCACAGATACAGAGGTGCAAGGGGTTAAGTGATTTGCCCAAGGGAGCAAAGCTAATCTGTAGCTGGGACTGAATGCCAAGTCCGTCTGACTCCAGGGTTCTTCCCCCACTTCATGCTGCCCTTGTCCCTGCTCTGACCTTGGCCCTCATCATCCTTCTTCCACTGGAAGCGGGCCTTAGCCAGCCTTGGCTCTCTTCAGCTACACCCCCACCCCCCGACCCCACTGCAGCCAGTAGCCAAAAGGCCTACAGATTCCAGCTTTATCACCAGCCGGGGCGGTGGGCCTGATGCTTAGGCCAAGGGAGGAAAAAAAGATGGACAAGCCCCAAGCCCAGGGCCCTCTTACCTGTCACTTCTTTGTCCGCAAATTCTCCTGGGACAGAGGGGGTGGGCACAGCCAGTCCATGGTTTTCCTGGGCATTCTGAAAGAGGGCAGAGAGAGCAGGGAACAGGGAAAGACAGAGAAATCTTAAGTTGCTGCTCTAGGAGGTCATTTTACTGCTCAAAAATCAGCAGTGATGATGAGGGTTTGTATAACCTTGTGAATATACTAAAATACAAAAAGGCTAATTTAAAAGGGTGAATTTTGGGGCCCCTGGGTAGCTCAATCAGTTGAGTGTCCGACTTTTGATTTTGGCTCGGGTCACGATCTCAGGGTTGTGGGATGAAGCCCTGTGTTGGACTCCAGGCTGGGCATGGAGCCTGTTAGGATTCTCTTTCTTCCTCTCCCTCTGCCCCTCCCCCTTCACATAAATAAACAAACCCTTCAAAGGCTGAATTTTATGTACAGGTGAGTCTCATTACTTGCAGTAGTTATTTGGTCTGTAAAGTTGCTTCAAACACTAAATTAGAAAATGTGGAATCAATGCCCCAAGGGAAACACAGGATTAGGTTCCTGCAAACTTCAGTCAAAGCATTTTCATCAACCGGTCAATACAGAACTTAGTTTCATGTGTGTTTCTATTTAAAGACACCTTATTTAAAATATTCTTGACACGTTGACATTGAACTCATGGCCAACAGCACTGTAACTCAAGCCTGAACAAAGTTTTTCTAACATTTGTATTTTTTCTGTAAGCACATCACAGCCTTCTGTGTTAGCTGATGTTAGCACATCAGCACTATATTTGGGAGCCATTTTAAACAGTGAAATCACCAACAAAAAGCAAAGAAGTACAGGGGTGCCTGGGTGGCTCAGTGGGTTAAAGCCTCTGCCTTCGGCTCAGGTCATGATCCCAGGGTCCTGGGATTGAGCCCCGTGTTGGGCTCTCTGCTCAGCAAGGAGCCTGTTTCCTCCTCTCTCTTTGCCTGCCTCTCTGCCTACTTGTGATCTCTATCAAATAAATAAATAAAATCTTAAAAAAAAAAAGCAAAGAATTACAAAAAAGCCAAGGCACTACAGAGCACAGGACACTTATTTATAGTATGAGACCCGAAGCAAGAAGACAAAGGGTCCTGTTTGATCTCAGCTGGGACCGGGTACATCAGGTAACTCAAGATTTTTCCTAGCTCTGCATGTGTCCAAAGTGTCTGGAGGATTGCTTGGGGAGTTACAAATACATTTTAGTGAGGTGAATTTGCAAATACAAAATCTGCAAATAATGAGAGTTGACTGTCTATGAATTATATCTCCATTAAAACAAAACAAAAGTGGCTTGCTCCCCCATGCAAATCCATAAGTTAAAAGCCAAATGCTTTAGCCAGGCCTCCTGTTCGCTCTTGGTTTTCATTAGGTATTTACAGAGAAATAAATGAATTAAAAGTGGCAAACTGGAATAGTTCTAGCACTGCAGATGCCCTTCTGATCTTAAGCCTCACAAACCATAATTTGTTTACACAGCTGTCAGTTTGTACATACGATTTTGCATTTTATTTTTTTTTCCAAATACACATTTCCATACACCAACAAAGTACACACCTGTGTTTTGAAGTGCTGTGGAGCATTTTATGGCAGCTCTCAAGGTCCTCAACACCCTGGCCTTATCTTTCCCAGCCAGCTTTTATTTCCCACTCAACATGACGGACCCATCCTGGATTCTAGCTTGACCATCCCCCTCTCCACTACCCTTCCAACCCACACATGGAGTTCATGTTCATCCCTGAGGCTGCGTGTTGGTCAGGTTGCACCCCTCTCCCCACCCTTTATTTCTAACAATAATATTCCTTGCTCTATGCTCTAAACACATGATCTCTGTCATGCTACTCTATGAAGAAGATGATATCCCCATTTACCAGATGAGGACACTGAGGCTCAGAAGTGTTTGTTAAGTTGTCTACAGCCACACAACCAGTACTACCACATCCAGGTCTGTGGTGCTCGTGTTCCTCGGTATTTTGCTTCTCTGAAATCTCTCCTCCTTCAAGGATTAGCTGAGCCCCTCAAGGTGGATGGTAGAGTGAAGGGGCTAGGAGCACTGGCTTTGGAGCCAGACTGCCTGGATTTGAATTCCAGAACTACCACCTACTAGCTGTAGGACTGTGCTGGTCACTGAAGCTCTCTCTGTCTCAGTTTCCCTGCTTATGAGGTGGTGATAAAAATAGAATTTAGCTATTCTAGGGCAGTCGTGAGGTTAAATGACATAATACACAAAAGGCACTTCACTCCTAGCATGTGGTGAATGCCCGTTAAGGGGGAGTCCAGTAAACATTATTAGCAGGAGCCCTCACTGACCTGATGCTTTTTTTTTTTTTTTAAAGATTTTATTTGTTCATTTGACAGAAAGAGAGCACAAGCAGGGGGAGTGGCAGGTAGAGGGAGAGGGAAAAGCAGGCTCTCACCTAGCAGGGAACCCAATGTGGGGGCTCGATCCCAGGACCCTCGGATCATAACCTGAGCCGAAGGCAGTCACTTAACTGAGCCACCCAGGCACCCCTGACCTGATGCTCTTCAGAGCGACCCGTAGCAAAACCCCTCAAAGGAAGATTTTCGTTTGCTCGATCGATATTTCCCTAGTTCCTCCAGTGAGATGTGGTTGACCTTGGAGCCCAGGGAGTATGTCCTATATATGTCCCCCAAAGCTGGACACACAGTAAGCCGTGTTGTTACTCACTGATGGGCTGACAGTGCTTACTCTGGGCTTAATGGCCTCATGGCTTCATATAAAAGATGGGAAGTTTAAGAAAGGTGTTTTGAAAATATCCATGAGACTCTGGGTTACCAAGTGCAATCTTGGAATTACTCTTTGCCTGTTTGGGGGCAAGAAACCACTCATCTTTTCATCCTCAAAGAATTCTGATGCTGGAATAGCCATGAGGCATTGTCTTTCTCCTGCCTCTTAGTAATTTTTTCCTGCCCTTACTTGATTCACACAGCCAACACACACCTGTTCTTCACATCTCTCAAACCCAGCGATCTGGACCAGGGGGAGGCACAGGGGCCAGCCAATCCGAGGAGTGTCTCCCAGGACATTCTGAGACACACACACACCCCACTGACTGTCTAATAAACCTTCATCAAGTATGTTCCCTCTTTTGATGAGGTGGATTTTGATGAGGCGGAGGCCAGACCATCAAAAGCTAGGGCTGAGACTTCTGTTTACTCTTTTGAACATAATTGGAAAATAAAAAGGCATGGGGACTCAGCATAGAAGGTCTTGGATTCCATTCGTGCTCTGAGTTTTGCCAGGGGCATGACCTTGAATGAGGCAGTGACATTAAACCATCACTTTTGTACCTATCGTGTGCCGGCACTAACAGTTTTACCTACATCATCTCAAATCCCTTAACAGAGCCAGGGTGCAAACCCAGGCCTCCCAGCTCACCTTTTCTACCGATCACCCATTTTCTTCACTTATGAAATGGAGATAATATTCCCTACTTTGCATTAAGAGGGTGAAATGAGATAATATTCCTAACCCAGGAAATCTGTGTTAGCTGAAGTCTTCTGTCTCCCAATCCTCTCTCCTACAAAGGTGAAAAAATTGTGAACGATCAAAGCTAAGCTGCCTGGAATCCTAGAAGCTTCTTCTGGGTCACCCGTGGTGCTCCAGTACAATGAGGCGTGGAAGAGGAAGATGGACAGATTTTATGCACCAGAGGTCCTATTGCCCATCCCACCCTTTGATCTTCAAGAACTCTGGAAGCACAGTAGACTCCGCAGACCACAGGATGGAAGTCTGTCTCATGAGCGGTCTTGGAGCAACAGTGCAGACCAAGGTCAGGCTTCTCAGGTTCTCCCCAGAGACATGGGTGGGGGGAGTCCCAGGACACGCCCACCACCTCACTGTACTGCTTGAGATGCTGGGGCTCTCCACTGTTCGCCACCCTCGGGGCATGTCCCAAAGTCTAGCCTCATCCGTTCAGGAGCTCCCAGCATGGAAGTGAACTGACCTTGCATCCCCAAGACCCTGATGGCTCTGCCCTTTCCCGCTCACGCCCACACAGTCCCAGCGTGCTCACTCAGCTGTCCCTTCCATGGTTGCATGTCTAGCCAAGGCAAATGCAAACTCATTTTCACCTTAGTCCTAGAGAAACAGACCGGGACAGTGAGTTCCCTTCACTCGTCAGGGAGACCCAGGGAGCTGGCTGGGATGGGGCTGTGTTTTAGTGGGCAAATGCACCGGTGTAGACAGCATCCATCTCCATGAGTGCTGAATTCCCTGACCTGCCTCCTTGAGCCTCAAAGAATGGAGGTAAAGCCTACACGTGAGCCCTAACTGCAATGTGTGATCCTGAATTGGACCCTGGGATGTGTGCCATGAAGAATATTAGTGGGGCAATTGGCAACAACATAAATGTCTGTTAGATAAAAAGTATCATATCAATATTAAACTCCTGACTTTGGTAATTGTGCAGAAAAATGTCTCTGTTCTTAGGTTACACACAGTGAAGTATTTAGGAGTAGAGGGACACAAGGGCTCAATGGTTCAGGAAGAAACAGTGTGTATATATCAAGGGTGGAGGGAGCAAATAAAGCAAATGTGCTGAATGTGGGCGAAGGCTCTAGAGAGTTCTTTGGGCTATTCCTGTAACTTCTCTGCACACAGGGATTGATTGAAAGAAAAGGTTACTTAATGCCACTGAATTACACGTCTTAAAATGATTGCAATGGTTACTCTCATGGTATATGTATCTTACAATTAAAAAAAATATTAAAATATAAGAGAGGACCGTGGAAAGAGAAGAGGCTAAGAGAGCCTCCAAGCTTCTCCATCCGCTGGCGGTCAGCACCTCACACCATCTTTCTCCCACTGTCTCCAGTACTCCCAGTCTCTGCAGTGATAATGGCAGTTGCTGATTTCCTAGCACTTACTCCGTATCAGGTATTCTTTCTGTGTTTTCTATCTCTTAACTCATTTACTTTCCGCAACAACCTGATGAGATTGGTGCTGTTATTGCTACCTGCCTTTTGCAGAAAAGGAAGGACACTGAGGCACAGAGAGGTTAAGGGACTTGCCCAGGGACCCACAACTAGTTATAGATC